GGAGGCGGAGGATATTGGGGAGATCATTTGATTTTAATGATTACAGAAGGGGGGGATCAGTCATAACTGAGAGCCCAAAAGAGGAGGGTGGTGTGCTAAATGTTACATGCCCACAAAGACGCGGTGGACGGCTATTTGACACTCTAAAAAGTAACTTTGCAGTTTTCAAGCACTTGGGATGGTTAGTTGCTGATATATGTCAACTGACATCAGTCACAGGATTCTCAGTAGAACGGCGGAATTTCACCGGCTGTAAAATCGAATGTAGCCGCCTGTTTCGGTTGTTAAAATTTGTAACTTGAATTTTTTATTAAAATTTGTAAACGTGATCATAAACAACTCATTTTCCGCATCACTTTGCCCCCCAGAATGCATGAAATCGCATCTTTGGTAACCTACAATTTCAAAATTTTCCAGGGGGTCTGACCCACCGACCCCCCTAGGTTGGCTTGGCCTTCGGGCCCCGCGTTAATTTGCGCCACTTGCCATGCTTTACTGGACGCTTGTGAAAAGTTCTGCTAAGAACCCTGGTCAGACATCGGGATCCAGACTAGCAAAAGACACGGATCAAGAGACTGCACCATGGCGGCTTCAATGAAACCATAAAGTACGTCATAGTTAAAAATATTACTTTCATATGACCGTTAAAAGCACTAAATATACACGTCGAAAGATGAATATGCGTGCGAAGATATGGGGGATCACGAAACTCCTCAATAATTATGAGGGGGGATCACTTCAATAAAATAACATTTAAAGCGGGATCAGCTAAATGTTACTGTCCTTAGCCGGAAATCCCTGGACACCCTGCCCCCCCCAGCGATAAATAATGACCGGTCCCTTAAACCTTCATTTCTACACCATTAGAATTAAAGCTCAAATGCTTGTAAGGAAGACTCATTGTGTGTTTTTTGTGTGTGTTCGTCAGAGATGATCGCGGGCGCACCGAGACACCCACCTCTGGAAACTGAGCGTGCTTGTGGGGTCGTGCGCTAGAAACATAAAATGCTAAGGATTCAACTGTAAAGCGAGTTACTAAAATAAATATAATCAATTTACAGGATATGCATTGCGCAATATATGTTATGATTTTCAAATTAAAATTTGCAAACGTTAGACAAGTAATATAAACCTCGTGTTGTTCCATAATGCACTTTTGTACTTAGGTGACACGTCAAACAAAAAACCGTTCAATTTTCTTTGTCCATGACTTATCAAAGCAAGCCTCATTATTGTGCCACGCCGTTAGTTGACTTTTCAGGTAGAAGAACTGCTCATCAGACCACATTTCGCTGAGAGCCTGGACTCTGGTATCCCAACGGTTGAGCCTGCTGCCCTGTTCTACAGCGGAGTCATTCTCCTTCTTCACTGTAACCTTGCCTTTCATGATCACCTTTGCTGTGTTTGGCTCACCTTCTTTGATTGTGAAGGTTTCAGTTCTAACGTCATCGTAGATAGTGTTTGTATCTTTCAGAAGAACACACCCAAGGTCTTTGGAAACCGACAGTTTGTATTCATCAGACAGTTGACAAATCTCTAGAGTCCTTTAAAAAATAGACCAAAAATCAGCTTAGCTTTCGCTTTTGACGTTCTATAACGATCCATTTGGTTCTTTCCTGTTTAGTATCACTACAAAATTCATGGGAAGCAAAGAGTGATAATATCGCGAAAGCAAATATATGCCATATTCGTACTCTCAGTATTGGACTGGGACTAGCTTGCAACTGAGGCTAATGCGGGGAGTGTTTTGAAATGCAAATGACATTTATCTCTTTTCAATGATATTCCTCGGCATAAGCCTCCATTGCAAGCTAGTCCCAGTCCAACACCGAGAATCCGAATATAGCCTTTTTTCCAGGAGACATGCACAGAATAGTTGCTTGAGCCTTGTTGCTGGGAATGGAAGCTCAAGTCTAAAGTTAAGCCGTTGAAATCCTTCAGTATCATGTTATTGTTACAATACAACTCCACGAAATAACGTTACAATCTTTCAAACACTCACCGCCACCTAACATGTACAGTACAATCCTCTCACCTTGTCATCTGGGGTTTTCTCCGCCATTCTACAGGTAATGTGGCATGTTTTTATTCTGGATCAGAAGGGTCAAGCCCACGCAACTGGGCATCCCTTCCACGTACTTCTTCATTTAATACCCGAACCGGAAGTAGTAGCTTACTCTTACATCCGGTCTGTATCGAGAGGAATGACGAGTGCGGAGAAGGCCAGACTTACGGCCAGTAGACTGAGGAGAGCGCCAGACGAATTTTATGACCAGCGGCTACAGTGTAGGCGGTGGAATCAAATTTAACCTGCGCTTGGAAGGTTTCATCAGGCTTCTGAGGCTGGATATCCTTTGGTGAATGACCACGAGGATGGGTCAGGTTTAGAACGCCTGCCAGGAAATCGAACAATATGCGAAATTCGAACTTATTCAATGAATGTTTGAAACAATATGCGAAATTCAAGCTCATTAAAATCAATGATTAAAAGTTGTCCGTCTCACAGATCGTGGTAAACTGAAGCGAATGTGAGGAAAGCAATAAAGGACAGCAGCTGACAGCTTCCCTGATCCGGCTGACTAGTTTCGCTATTATTTTTTCTATGTTTTTCACTCGTTCCTTGCAATCCATGAAGCTCTGCGTCCGTTGCGATAATTCTACAATGCTGAAGAGTGCAAACGTGATGAAATCAGTTTCAAAAATATGATTTCTGTATTTTTTCGAGCAATTTCAATTTCCGAGGCCAGGAATGAGTATGAACTCTTAAAGTTGAATAATTATAATAATTCGAAGAATAAGACATGTGTACATATGTACAGATCCACACAGTGCAAACGTCGGTTAAAACGCTTAAAGCACGATGATGTTAAATTGATGGGTTTTTTTTTAATAACCGCGATTTGTTAGACTGGTTTTTGCTTTCTTTGTGGCATTTTGGGCTCAGACTGCATGTCTGGATTCGACAATTTAAGGTATTAGGGTCGGCTCTTGATGTGTTGACATACCTCTTGTAATAAGCGAAGACTCTCCAGTCGGAAACACATCACACAGTCGGCATATTTCGCGGGTCTTTGTTTCACGATTTGGGTGCAAAATTATTTTCTTGGGAAATTAATTTTCGCGAAAATGAAAAAAAAAAAACATTTTATTTCGAGAATTTTATCATTATTTTACACTTCTTATTGCTGAAATCATCAACTCATAACAAAACCAAACTATAGAAACCCCATCGTGTACCATAGGCATAGTCAAAGACATTATGCTTATGCTTATGGTTAACGTTCTTTGCAATCCACCGTAGGAAAAAAGATGGCGGCTGTTCATTTTACCACAATGCCTTGCGAACCTAACACAGCCTATAAGGCACTAAGCAAGCCAAATGTTTATAATATTTGTCCCTGTACAAAGGACATTGAGTAGCCTGGGTTTGAAGATTTAATAACGTTTCTGTACGTTTTTATAAACGTTTTCAAAGTTGTCGTGCGCTAAGAACTGTGGGTAAATATCCTAGTTGCCATCTTTTTTCCTGTTACCGTGAATTAGACTAAAGCTATGTGTACCATTGGCATAAAGGTCTTAGACCTCTAATCAATTTTTAGGGCGAGCTCCATGTCAGTGAACGGGTCTTTTGGAGGGAGATCCGTTTGTCCATCTAAGAGGCCAGAGATCCCGGCTTTCTCCCATCCTTTCGCGATGTGTCACATACCAACAGGACTACTCAGGTGGTTGTAAAGGTCCACCAACCAGACGGCATAAAGTGGTTTTAGGACTGTTAGTCGCAGATCCACATTAATATTAGTGCTGTCGCCTCCCGATTCTATCTGCTGCTTTACTTAGTCCGAGTACCATGTCGAGAAGTTATCCTTCATAAATCTTTTGGCCTCCCCATTGACGGTGAGGTCCAGAGGCTGAGAGAAGTGGGTCATGTTGGCGGGCACCGACATCGTCAGCCACAATCCGTCGTAGGAAAAAAGATGGCGTTTAGTACATTTACCCATAATTCTTAGCACACGGAAACTTAAAAAACGCCCATAAAAACGTACAGAAACGTTCTAAAACCTTCAAACCCAGCGTACATAATGTCGATAGCACAGTGGTAAATACTGCAAAAATGTGGCTTACCTTCTACTTTACGGGCTGTGTGAGGTTCGCATGGTATTGTAGTAAAATGTACAGCCGCCATCATTTTTCCTACAGAGGATTGCACGGCACAATTGCACAAGATACTGCTGAGTTAAAGTGTTGTCGGCCAAGAACCTCAGACACTGCTATTTGTGCTTTCAGGAAGGTTTCCGCAAATGATTCTGGGCTCATTTACCAGGAGCTTGCAATTTTCTCGCGATCTCTCGCATAACAGCTTGAAATAGACCCTTTTCATAAATGGCTGCCAATTATAAATTCTTTTGTAAGTATTAAAATTAGCCTGCCTAACCTCGTTCTTGACTTGATAATTCAAAAGAATTTTTACTCCCAAACGAGTTTAGTGAGGCTAATTTAAATACATACAAAAGAATTTTAAATTGGCAGCCATTTATGAAAAGGGTCTATAACTTTGTTCGGTTTGCCTTGTGGCTTCGTTGGTAGCATCACAACTTGAATCTTTGATTCCCCGAGCCGCCGATGTATTACAGGATTACAGTTTTGTTTACATGGATTATCGCTCTTTTCTTATGCCACCTCGTCTAATTCATTTAAAAAATTCACAAACACGTAACGATGTTCTTAACACCACGACACTGGACTACGATTCGATGTATTAAAACCATGCATAACTAATTTTTCTCAGAAATCGCGCAATTTCCCGTACTTTTGTGATTCAGTCCGCAAATTCACTGATACGCTGTAACGCCAGTCTTCCTTACCTGATTTGCATGAACATAACTTTCCATGTGTGAAATTTGATAAAGTTTAAGAAAATAACAAAATTACTTGCATTGCTTTGCTTGTTTT